TTGCAGCCATCATTGTTGTTTGGCAGGCCCGGGCTGGATTTGAACCCGCCACCTTAGGAGTATGTGGCTGGCACCTTAGCCACTTGAGCCACAGGCGCCGAGCCTCTGCCCACTCTTCTGAGCTTTCTACTCAACCTGCAGCTTCCCCAACAACTGAAAACTCCAGAAAGGAGTTTCCTCCCAGTGGAGGAAACTGCCCCAGACCTCCATTGGGCAGTCAGCTGATTCCAGCCAGTCTCAATCACTTGCCTAATTCATCAGATTTCCACCACTCTGGATCATATGCTGTGTCCAGCTCACCACCTCTTCACTGTGCTCCCTGAGCTATGACTCTGGGTAAGGTCTCCATGCCTGGTGTGGCTGGGTTCTCTCATTTTCCCCAGTCATTCTAGGGGAGCTCAGCAGAACAATCCTTCTGGTCTGCCATCTTGCTCTGCCCCTTCCATTCTCTTATCCTCGGTGTTGGCTTCTCCTCTAAGGCTAGGTCCTTTTGGGGTCATAGGCTGGCTGCTGGTGGCTTTTGGAGCTGTCTTTCCCTTTGGACTGGTTAGGCTAAGGAATGCAGCATCTCTCTCTGCAGGTCAATGAACCAGCAGGAGTCCTAACTTAAGCAGGACTGTATTGAATCTAGGGTGATGTCTGAATAAAACGATACCTGTTAGGAAATAGGGAATGGATTTGGTGTAGGCAACATCAGTGTTCCCTACAGCTGGATAATGGTAATGTTTAGATAAAGTATTGGACTCTAGAATTATGAGGTGCTAGGAAGATCTTAAGAGACAAATTGAAAAACTGCTTCTTAGAACAAGAATCTTTCCAGAATAGAAAAAAAGGGAATTGACATTTATTGAGGACCTCCTATTTGTCAACCCCTTTACAAACAATATTTTACTTAATGTTACAATAACACTACAGGAGATGTATGCATTTTATAGATAAGAGAACCAAGGCCCGGAGGATGTAAGCAATTTTGTGAAAATCAAGTTCTCTCTTCTCTAAAACTATGTTCTTCCATTTAATCATACAAGCAGGTCAACAGTCAAGACCAGAATGTTAGGGCTGGGAATTTGTAGTTTTTGAAATATGCTGTGATGTGCTGCCCACATCCCTCATTAGGGCCAAAGGACTTCATCCTTCAGCTGCTGGAAGCACTGTGGGCAGACAACCCTCAGCTGAAGAGAGCCACAAGGTCACACCATTTCCCAGGTATCCTGTATCCAGTGAGTGAAGTGGGGATATAAACGGCTGGACTCCTCCCAACCCTGAAGTGTCATGCTAGCTTCAGAGCTCCCCTAAGGCAAACTGAGACAGGGCTCAAGTCCTCTGCCCAGGTGTGTGTCTTTCCTCATCCCTGCTACAGGAGTTGATTACTAGGACACTCCCTTCAAAGTCTCTTGTGTCCTAATCTCTCTGCTTCCTGGAGACCTCACCTATGACAATTACCAATTTAAAGGAGTGGAAAAGATAGGATTATAGAAACAGTAATAGATGAAATAATAGTTTGTTTTTTCTTTTTGGAGACAGTCTCAAGCTGTTGCCCTGGGTACAATGCCGTGGTATCACAGCTCA